GAAGGGGACAAGGGGTGGGTGTGAGGATGATGCAGCCAAGCGGATGTTTTGAATCTTTAAGCCAAAGAAGTCTAGAACCTCTTCGCACTTGGCGTTTGAAGTGAGGAGAGAGGGGGCTTGAGGGGGTGCACAGAGAAGGTGATAGACTGGGGAAAACAGTGTCTTTCAGTTGTTTTTGGCCTCCAGGATGACTTTGGAGTCAAAGTCAGTTTGGACCTGGGAAAGGGAGAGGCGGTAGGTGCAGAGGTGCTCAAGCCACAGATGGTGGTGAATAGTGAGGCCAGATTTCTGCCATCTGCACTTGAACGTCCGGGTAGTAAGGTTTTATTGGAGAGTTAGCGGACATTTTGGAGGGAAATGCGGATAGATTTGCTGGTGGGGGGTGGGAATGGAGGATAGAGTTGTATAGAGAAAATTTGGGGTAGTGGGGAGAGGTGACCCTGGAGTTTGAGGAGTGGGAAGAGTTGTAGAGGGTATGAATGAGGGAGGGGGAAGGGGTGTTTACCTTTTGGAGACGGTTGGTGGGGAGAGAATGAGCGATGGGATAGTTGGGATGTCTGCTCTGGGACAACCAACACTGGGAGCCATGATGGGCCTGGCTGAGGATGCCCAACCTGGGGCAGAGGGTGGCAATGGTGGAGTCCAGGAAAGAGAGAAGGTGAGGAAGACAGTAGGAGAGAAGGACAGAGTGCGAGTAGCGGAGTGTGGGAGGTCGGAGCAGGAACATTTTCAGAGGGAGTGGCTCGGGCTGGGGCGGTAGCCAGAACGCGCATGCAGAGACCAGGAGCGAGCCATCAGCGGGGCAGCATCAGCTACAGGAGTCAGCACGGGGGGGAGAGGGGGTATGGGGATCATGGCTTAGGTGCCAGAGACAGGGAGGGCAAGGAGGGAGGACAAGGTAGCCGAAGGATAGCAAAATTTTCACTACACTTACCCTGGAGGATTTGAACATGGCGCCCGGAAGTGACGTCACACAGCAAGATTCGGCCATTTTTCAGGCGGGGAATTTGGAAATAGTGTCTCCGCGCCTGAAGCAGCTGAACTTCATCTCGCCGGTTACTAACCACCGCTCGTTTGTCCACCCATGGTCTTGGCGGTCGCTCGCTCCCATCTGATCTCAGTGGTGGCTCATTTCCCGTGGTTCAAGCGGGAGACTTGAAATTTCGCCTCCACACTGGACCCGCAAATGGCCCTGCTCCTCCCGAGGCCTACCTCGCCCCACCGGTGCCCTTCCGTAGCCTACCTCTCCTCGCTGTTGTCAACTGAACCTTCGACTCTTGCGCTGGTCACTGCCTGCTCATTCACCCGTAGCCCCAGCTCTCGCTGCTCGCGTCTGCTCTCAACTCGTGCCAAATAGTTACTGCATTTGCCTTCAAAAAGTCGCTACAATTAACAGCAAGTTGTAAACCCCCCTGAGACATTTTTTCACAAGATTTGTATCAATACAAGTTCTTTCTTCAAATAAAAAAATAAGGCAAGCAAGCACAACATCATTTTTTTAATATATAGAATTATACAGCACAGAAGGAGGCCATTCGGCACATCATGTCTGTGCCGGCTCTTTGAACAGAGCTGTCCAAATCAATTCCACTCCCCCGCTCTCTTCCCATAGCCCTGCAAACTTGTCCTCCTCAAATAATTACCTACTTCTCTCTTAAAAGTTGTTATCAAATTGGCTTCACCACCCTTTCAGGCAATGCATTCCTGATCCGAACATCTCGCTGTGTAAAAAAATTTCTCCTGACCGCCCCTTTGTTCCTTTTAACAACTATTTTAAATTGGTGTCCTCGGGTTACCGATCCACCCGCCAGTGGAAATAGTTTCTCCTTGTTCACCCTATCGAATCTCCTCATAATTTTGAAAATTTCTATTAAGTCTCCTCTTAACCTTCTCTGCTCCAAGGAGAATAATCCTAGCTTCTCTAACCTCTCCTGATAACTGAAGTCCCTAGTTCCTGGTACCATCCTGGTAAATCTCCTGTGCCCCCTCTCCAATGCCTTGACATCCTTCCTAAAGTGTGGTGCCCAGAACTGAACACAGTCTCTAGCTGAGCCCTAACCAGTGTTTTATAAAGGTTGATCATAACTTCCTGCCTTTTGTATTCTATGCCTCTATTTATAAAGCCCGTATGTTTTTTTTTAATAGTTTTATCTACATGTTCTGCCACCTTCAAAGATTTACTTATATGAACCCCCAGGTCTCTCTGTTCCTTCACCCCCTTTAAGACTGTACCATCCAGCTTATACTGCTAGAGACAGGTATTTGCTCGTCAACCTTTTTTTGGATTTGATTTAGGAATGAATGATTCAGTATTTGTAAAGTAAGAAAGTTGTAATTAATTCAACAAATAAGTTCCAATGTGGGGGTTGAATTCACAACGTTCTGACTAAGAGGCAAGAGTGCCACCAATTGAGCCAGGCTGATGCCTGACTGAGCCAAGTAAATATTGCTTCAGACATGCCTAATTGTAATTGGGACTTTGATCCTATGAAGACTTTGAATTGTTTCAACAACGTGATAAAGTACTATATCAAATGCAAAGATTATCATTATTTAGCAAATAACTCAGAATTAGATCCTGGAGAGTCCCCGATAGTTTAAGTCAGAAGTGATATTGAGACAGCGTAAAGTCTCAAAATGAATCTGGTCAGAATTTAACTCTTATTTCACTGCTAGCAAGGATAAGTACCTTATCATTGATTGTAATTTCCTCAAACTGGTGAGTGGAAGGATAGAAAATACTGATTTTTTGAAAAGGTATTTAAACACTAATAGTTAATTGGTAACATTTGAGGGTGGAGGGGGATTTTGTTGGTCTATATTTTGTCCTTCTCCACTTGAACCATGCTGGTCGATGGCATCACTATCTTTAAGCCTGTTGCAATTTCATTTTCCAAAGCAAATACTTTTCTAAATTGATTGTAAAACTAATATAATAGAAGCCTCAAACAAAACAATCTGCAGGATTTCATAACCATAATTATCCAGAGTTCAGATAATTATAATTCAGATGATGCCATACACCCAGCCTTTACCTTCACTCAGCAAGCACGGTGCTGCTTCTTGACATCTTCCTTAACCCCATGCCAGAGTCCCTTCGACTCAGTCTCTCCCTCCCCTTATTCAAGGCACATCTCAAAACTTACCCTTTTGACACATGGTTTCAGTCATCTTTCCCCTTCCCTCCACCCTTCACTTCACACTTATTGAGCTGTGCTTGAACCACCGAAGTAGAAACACAAGATTAATGCCTCAAAATCATTCCTAAATACATACTTTATTTTGCAAATACTCAGCAATTGAGGCAAAGATTTTTTTAAAAATGCAGCCATATTTACTATTATTCATTGAAATATACTGAATCCATTAACCTTTCTCTCCCTCCCCTCCCATTCTCATGTGCCAAAGTACTTTAAGTTGAAAATACATGCGTTCATTACTCTCCACACACTTGTTAATCATAAGGGGATCTGTCAGCATTCAGCCATGAAATGGTTAATTTGCTTCAGGTATGTTTGCTCCATGTCCCATCATTGACTAACAGCTGGTCAACCTTCCAAAGGTCTTTAGACGTTTTGAGAAACATGGTAACAAAACTGCACTTCTGTACTTTCTTGTGTTAAGTTTAGTTTGAAAGTAGAACTTCCCAAAGTAAAATTATTTTCATGTAAGGTTAAGAAAAAAAACCTTCCAAATCTTTTTGCTAACTGAACTATAGTAATTCAAAGCTTGTATTTATTTATCTTCAGAGCTGTCAGTCAAGCATGCCATCGAGCCTAGGACCACAGGCTCCAGTCTGACAGCAGCCTGTGATCCTGGTCACACACCCACATAGTTGATGGACTGCTCTAAAAGTAAACAAACTTCACAACCTCAACAGGGTTTAGGAATATTAATTGAAATTAAACGTTTAGCTATTGTTATTATTATATTCAGGCTATAAAATCAACAGTCAGTGGGGATAAACTAGCTATGAGACATCTCAACAACATGATGAGGCACTATATTAAATGTGAGAATTATCATTATTATTAAGAGCTTTAGTTATGAAGATAAATGTGAGACATTAGGACCTTTCTCTCCCCTCAACAACAACAAACAACAATAAATTACATTTGTATAGTGCCTTTCACATCAGGAGGACGTCCCAAGGCCCTGGACAATCAGGAATTTGCACCCGAGCTGGTGGTTGGGATCAGGAGGGGTGGAGGGCAGGGAGGGTAGCTGTATAATATCAAAAAGGAAGTGCAGAAAATATCACTATATATAATCCTCTGGAACAAATAGTGATGAAATGTTTTTGTAAATTAAACTATTTTCCTGGAAAATTAATCCTCTTTAAAAACGATTTCACTGCATTTGTTAAATAAGCCTAAATCCAAGCTCAATTCCAAGGCTTTGATTTCAAAATAAACGGAATTAGAAATTCTTGTGGAAGTCATTTAAGTTAACGTTGTATTCGGGAACTTATTTTCTTCGAATGCCATGCACTAGGAGTGTTCTTCACAATTGAGTTTTCTTAAAAAATATCCAAGAAATTGTCAGCATTAATAAAACCAGTCACGCCAATTTGCAGTATATCCTGTGAAGCGCTTTCAGATAACCCCGGATGTGAAAGCACTAAACCAAATGTAAGGACTATTTTTATTATTAGTAGTATAATTAAATTTGAACGTTCATTGAAAAATGTCAGCAAGATGAGTAACCTTTTTAAAAATAAATTAAAAACTGATTTTGGAAAAAAAATCACTTTTTTATTTCTTAAAAACAAATTGTACAATTTGAAGTTTGGATAAAAACACTTGTTAAAAATACTTTTGTTATTGCAATCGAGAACATTGCTATCAGTCCTTCTGTATTTTTGTATTACATTTGTGACACTGATTAATTCTAGTACTTGGCACCATCTCATGCCAAAACAAATATTGTCATAGCTAAAATACATAATACCACTTACCTACTCATTTATTTATAAAAGGTCTCAACTCTATTCAATTTACCTTGATTAATGAATTCTTCCATTTTGTCTTTAAAAGGCTGGAGATTTTCTACTGATGAAAGGCGGCAGACCTTTTCTGCCTCTGTCTCGCAGACTGCAATGACACAAAAAAAGGGAAAAATCTCAGTTGACGTCAGTATTTTCACTGAACAGACAAATGGCTCACCTATAGAAAGATCTCAGATGCAGATGATTTCCTCAGTTGAATTTCCTTAACTTCAATTAATTTTGTTTTGGGGCAGAGGGATAAAATTACATGGGGTTTCTGATTTACAAATCAGGACCTCTTGCTTAGCAGTAGTCTGTGCTTCACTGTCATAAACATCCCCAGCATAAGAACCCATGCCAAATAGGTGATGTGGAAAAAAACACAATTGACATCTTTACAAGGGTGGGAGCGATCAATTCTTCGTTGACTCGTTTGAACTATAAAAAACAGCAAGAACATAAAATTGTTCAAAACAAATCTGAGTTAGATTAATTGATATGTTGATAAATTATGAACAAATAAGAAAATCTGGAACCACTATTTTATCAGTTCATTTTCAGAGTGCTCACAAATTCCTTGATCTTGGTGATTAAGTATCAAATAATCCAACCTCAGAGGGCACATTTTTCAAAGGTACCCTTGTAATGCTGTAGCATACAAATGGAGCTTATATGTAAATATTGCATTGACAAAGCACACACCAAGACAAAGTCTGAAAAATTAATAAATGTAAACTAGGTGCACAAGTATGACAAATATGGTTGACAGAATCTCAAAATAGTTAGCCTTGGTTTAATTTGAAACCGATACACGAATAGCTAATAACAGTTATTTTAAAAAGCAATTTGAAAAATAATTAAAGATTCATATTTCGAACTTGCATTTACAAAGTGTCCTTCACGTAAGATAGCATCTCAGAGCCCTATGTCGGGGCTTGGAATAATCAGCATCAAGCACAACTTATAAATAAGGCTGGGTCCTTTTGATTGAAAATAACAAGTCCGGCAATTTCTTCACATGTGCTAAAGTGTGTGCAAAACCTACAATAAACTTCACTTCAAATAAATTCAGACACAGGCATCTAAAAAAAAGTTTTATGTTCACCTCAGATTTTGAGCACAAAAGTGAAATACCAATCATTTATGATCACTGCCAATAATTTTGCCAATTTGAATTTGATTGATATGTGCATTACTTGTAATATTCAATGTCAGTATCTATTTTGGTTGCAGTATTTGGCTTCTCCAAATATTGAAAAAATATGTAAAACTTGACAGACGGTTAAGTTGTGGGTTGTAAATATTGAAGGAACAGCGGTAGTGTTTCCAAGAATGGAAACCCAATACACCGAAAAGTGAACAATAATCAGCAAGAAGCTCATACCACTAACAAAATATTCATTACATTTATTAAAAGTTATGGAAGCTTTCTCCCCTGCAGTCAGAACTAAACTGAAGTGTGTTTTGAAAATATAACCTAGAATAAAAGCATTTCACCTAAATAAAATAATAAGAATAATAGAATAACAACAACGTTTGGTTTACACCTTTCAAGTTGGGAGAACATCCCAAAGTGCTTCACAGGAATTACTGTGCATTTGTGGGTGAAACACAGCAGCCAACAATGTCCCGGCAACAGCCGTGAAGTGAATTTTATTTGGAGATTGTTGGCCAGGATATTGGGAGAAACTCCCTTCTCTTTTCGAATAGTGCCACGTGATCTTTAATGTCCTCTTGAATAGACAGATGGAACCTCGGTTTAACATTTTATCCGAAGGAAGGCACCTTTGACAATGCAACACACCCAGAGCAATGCATTGGAGTGTCATCCTAGATTATATGAGTTCAAGTTCCGACGTGGGGTTTGAACCCACAACCTTCTAACTCAAAGGTAACAGTGCTACCACTGAACCAACAGACGGAAAAGTGAGTGGGGTGGTGGCGAGGGAAGAAAGCAAGAGTCAAGTAATACAATACAAAATTAAATTTTTATAATACTTTTCACAGCAGGAGGATGTACCAAGGTGCTGGACAGTCAAGGATTTGGACCCAAGCAGGGTGCGGGTGTGGGTTGGAATCAGGGAGGAGTGAGGCAGAGAGAGTAGGAGGGTGGCCAAAGGCGCAGTCAAAGAGGAGGATGGTCTCAAATGTGCCTTGAAGGGGGTAAGGGAGATCCACTGAGGGATGGGGAACTAGTGGAGCCGGGTGAGGGTGATGGGGTCACAAAGCCTGGTGTGGGAGAGGACACAAGCTGCTGCAGAGTTCTGGATGATCTGCAGCTTGTGGAGGGAAGAGTTGGGAAGGCCGACAAACAGGGAGTTGGCACAGTAGAGCCTAGATGTGACGAACGCGTGAATGTGGGTTTTGGCGGCCTGAGGGTAATAATCAGGATTCAGTCTGATCCTGCATTTTAGTTTACACCTACTGGTGGATGGTGAATATGCACACTGAGTTATGTAGACCTGGCAGATAAGTCCCATTAGGAGAGAGCAACGCAAGGATATATTGCATTAATTATTGAAAATCTTGTTTTTTTTTAAAAAAATGTATGAGACCAAAGACTGAAAACATAGAAAAAAGGACCAGTTAAGTCAAGAAGATTAGGTTTTAAAAATCTGTAGATTTAGGAAAAAAGGAAGACTGAGGGAGTTACGGCATTTTTGTTGGTTGAATATTTCTTGATTTATGGTTTAAATCAAGAAATATTCAATAAAGAAAATGTATTTTGTTGGCTGGCCATAAAGGTTGGCCACAACTGTTCTACAGATTTTTGAGCAACAAAAAAAATCTGATGTGACTAAGAAGCTCTTTGATCTATATAAAAAATAAAATATAAAACATTTACAAGACAGAATTCAACAATTAAGAAATATTTACCTCATATTAAGGACTTAATATTCCTTAAAAACTAGCACAATAAAGTATTGTGGGATCTGCTGGAATTTAAGAAATCCTAGTTGATTAAGGATGAACTGCTTAAGAAAAAGTGCCTCAACTCATTGGGCATTTGTTTCTTAAAAATTCACAATACCACCTTTGCATCATAGTCATGCATCTCCTCTTTCTCCAAAAGCACAATACATTTTCTCTTGAAACCATTTACAGTAATTTGCTTCAACAGTCTCCCCTGGTAACTTTTTCCATATGCCTATTACTATTTATGTGAAAAATCCTGTCTGAATATCCTATTTATTCCTATTTTCCTAATTTTAAAATTGTGTCCCATAATTTTTAACCTATGTCAGTGTGAACAATTTGTCTGGATCAACTTCATGAACAGGTTAGGTACAAGGCTTGCTTATTATATTAAAAGATCCATTTGAAAGATTATTGGAGAGCCTTGCAGTCTAATACAGTAATGCACAAAGTAATCCTCAGCCTGTTATACGTCAAGCAAGATACGTTTCTGTATGGGAATAAATCATGGCTCCAATCCTTTCTACAGTGTTTCTCTCAATGTTATTGCACAAATAGATGCAGCTCACTGCAAATTTGACTTGGTTTCCAGAAGAATGCCTGCTGTTGGTAATGGACACAATTTAGTTTCTCCAACAACATCGTAAAACAGTCACCTCTGAGAAATAATCATCAACAACTGTAATGACTGGGGCAAAAAGGTTTCCATAACCTCTATAAGATTATCACACAGCTTGATGGTTCCTGTTAATTTTTTACAGACAATGTTTTAATATACAAAACAGTAAAATTGTTAATGGAAGCAACAGAAATCTCAGTTTAAGGTTTTAGAAACAGGCTGATATCTTTCTCAAGTGCATTCCAACTATTTACCACAAAGCAAAACTACACATCAACACCTTCCAACAATGAAGGCTTATTTTTCAATCCAGCTGTGGGACAGTTGTCTAGTCCAAGCTTCTCTGGAATGGTAGCCAATACTTGGCAGCTGTATTTCAGCACACAGAATGATTTGAGCATGGCAAGATGGATTACAGTCAATGCCTCAGTGTCAGTCTCCCATTCCTCTAACAAATCCCTTACTTCTGCTCATCCAACCGAGACCTGTGACATTGGAAAGCCTGGGATAACTTTCTGACCAACAAACACACTCAACTACTTTAGCAGGAAGGCCATCCAATGGCAATTTGCATTCAGATTTTTGGACCCAAATGATTGAAATGCTTTGAGTTTCACCAATAGCTAATGCCCTATAAATATATTTGGAGTCATAAAGATAGAAAAATATTGCTCCAAAGATCAACTAAACGTCAAAGAGACATCTGTTTTTATTTTAAAAATCTACAGTATTGTACTTTAAAACAGATGCTTATATATTGTATATTAACCAATGCTGTATATTAACCATTTACTTCATGGCCAAGACAGATTAAGCACTGGATCAACTGTTCAGATTTAGTAAAACCCCAAAAAATCTGCATTGTAGTATTGCGAACTTGGGTTTACCAAACATCAGCTCAGTCAATACAGAAAACAAGATCACAGGCCTGTATGGTTTCATGTAAACTGATTTTTGAAGGAAACTATTTTGCTAGAGCAAGAACGAAGATTTGATTCTTAAGTGCTATAAATCAAATGCAAACCAAAATCCGCAAACTTCAAATACTGACATGACTGGGAGTTGGATGTTACAAAGGTATCTTATTATAGCATGTATAAACTTCCATTCTGTTTTCCATCTGATTACTAATTTAAATAATGATCTGATATCAGGTGATGCAGCCTGCTAACAGCATTCTGCAAGGTTGCAAGGATTTCAAGAGGATAATCCATTCAAAGTGCAATTTAGTCCAAAAAGATGAAATGGGTGATACAAGGTGTACAAACAGAAGTAGACAAGGCCAAAGACTTTAGTGCACATGAATTGCAAGTAAAAGGAAGAACAAGAGAGGTGAAAGATCAATTGACATTTGTGGCTCATACGGAAAGAAACCAAAGGATACACTTCAAATGACACACTGTAAAGTGGAGTGACTGTGCATTTTGTGGGTGAACGCAGCAGCCAATTTCTGCACAACAACATCCCAGAAACAGCCATGAAGTGAATGACCAATTTTTTTTGGGTTGCTATTCAGCACACTGGGAGAAACTCCCTTCTCTTTATAAATAGTGCAATGAAAGCTTTAACAT